GCAAATATTGATCAAAATATAATTAAAGATTTAAAACAGTAAGATTTCCATTATTAGTAAAAATATATCAATTATATTATTGCATTGCTATTTATTTCAAAGTTTTCATGTTGTTGAGTTAAAACTAAATTTAAAAAAAAAAAAAAAAAAAAAAACGACCAAAAATTTGTTCAGAATAACGACACAGTTTGATGACTATGTGTTTGTTTACATTAATTATCTCGCATTTAAACAAGTTTCAAAACTAAACGGTATAATCTTGCCATTATTAAAATTGATAATGACGCATAGAAATTCCAAAAAAAAGTAACTTTGAATTTTTTTACTTGTCGCCCAACCAATGGTAAAAACTTTATTTAAAGCGAAAAATTTAAATCAAAAATAAGAGTAGCAAAATAATAATCAAATGTTAGATTTATGTTCCGTATTTGCTTCGTAGAACAAAAATCACTCAACAAGCGAAGTTAAAATTATCAAAATTCATTCTTTTTGTTTCGTATAAATTATAAAGAAAATGACAAAATTGCAAATGAAAGAATAGTCACAAAAATTTACGTCTAGGTGTATTTTTTTCATGTATTTTCAAGCTTTTTTCCAATAAGTATTTTTTTTTTTTTCACAATGGCGCAAGCATGAATTATTGGCCGATTTCTTTATTATTAACCGTTATCATCGAAAGATTTGCCGATAAAACATTCTGAAAAAATTGTATTAATCTAAACCTATCTAGATTTAGAGTAAAAACCTTGTATTTTACCTCAAACGGTTTAGAAAAATTCCAAAACGCAGGTTGTTGGAAAGCCGTCATAGATTCAATATGGGCGCCGCCATACTTATTTTCATTGACGTCACAAGCAATGCGCGTGAAATCTAGTGGTATTAGTAGCGTAGTCGGATCATGTTTTAAAAAGGAAAAAATCGCTAAATAAAATCGTTCTTATCTTTTTAATTGCAAACGCAAAATTTTGGGACTTTTTATGGTAAGCACTTAAGATTAAGTTCTTTCGTGAGGTGTTGATAAAAATTCTGTTGCAATTAGTTCTAGGTTAATCTTTACATTTACTGGCCTAAAGACATATGCTTCAATGCAATAAATGGCACCTTTTATGTAACAGTCCTTTGAATTCAAGGATCCTGAAATCATATCCCACTTTTTAAATGCTTACATATATCCTTGTGGTATCGTACCAGTACTGGTTAGTTCAGAAAGCTAACTCATACATGATGAAACTGTCATTTTATGTATCAAAATGGAGCGTTAATGAATGTTTTAAATCTAAATTACATTTTCCTGTGGTAGAGGTGTACATGTAGACCCGCTTCAGTTGCTTTTCTGTCATACATATCTATTTTTGGAACTGTATGTTGTTTCATCTCAAAGATATTTTGAGTAGGTTAGAACACCTCCCTAGTGTTGTTAATCTGCATGAAGATAATTTATTATTTGATAATAATTAGTGTTTAGAATAAAAGTAATACTTTCAATTATTTCTTGTTGTTTGCTTATTATACCCCCAAAAACGAAGTTTGGGGGGGTATATAGGAGTCACCCGGTGGTCGGTCGGTCGGGCGGTCGGTCGGTCGGTCCAGACGTCCGTTGCATTTTCCTTGTCCGGAGCATAACTTGAAGACTAATGGTTGGAATTCAATATAACTACATACAATGGTCAAGCACATTGAGAGGAAGTGCAGTGCACAAGAACCATAACTCTATCTTGACTAATTACAGAGTTATTGCCCTTTGTTACTTTTCCTTGTCCGGGGCATAACTTGAAAACTACTGGTTGGAATTCAAAACAACTTCATACAATTGTCAAACACAATAAGGGGAAGTGCAGTGCACAAGAACCATAACTCTACCTAAAGTAATTACAGAGTTATTGCCCTTTGTTGCTTTTCCATTGCTTTTTTTTGTCCGGACCATAACTTGAAGACTAAATGTTTGAATTCAATATAACTACATACAATGGTCAAGCACATTGAGAGGAAGTGCAGTGCACAAGAACCATAACTCTATCTTGACTAATTACAGAGTTATTGCCCTTTGTTACTTTTCCTTGTCCGGGGCATAACTTGAAAACTACTGGTTGGAATTCAAAACAACTTCATACAATTGCCAAACACAATAAGGGAAAGTGCAGTGCACAAGAACCATAACTCTATCTAAAGTAATTACAGAGTTATTGCCCTTTGTTGCTTTTCCATTGCTTTTTTTTTTTGTCCGGACCATAACTTTAAGACTAATAGTTTGAATTCAATATAACTATATATAATGGTCAAGCACATTGAGAGAAAGTGCAGTGCGTAAGAACCATAACTCTATCTTGACTAATTACAGAGTTATTGCCCTTTGTTACTTTTCCTTGTCCGGGGCATAACTTGAAAACTACTGGTTGGAATTCAAAACAACTTAATAACAATTGTCAAACACAATAAGGGGAAGTGCAGTGCACAAAGAACCATAACTCTATCTAAGTAATTACAGAGTTATTGCCCTTTGTTGCTTTTCCATTGCCTTTTTTGTCCGGACCATAACTTGAAGACTAATGGTTGGAATTCAATATAACTTCATACAATGGTCAAGCACATTGAGAGAAAGTGCAGTGCACAAGAACCATAACTCCATCTTGACTAATTACAGAGTTATTGCCCTTTGTTACTTTTCCTTGTCCAGAGCATAACTTGAAAACTACTGTTTGGAATTCAATACAACTTCATACAGTTGTCAAGGACATTAAAAGGAAGTGGCAGTGCACAAGAGCCATAACTCCATTTTGACAAAATACAGAGTTACTGCCCTTTGATGCTTTTCCTTGTCAGGAGCATAACTTAAAACATACTGGTTGGAATTCAAAACAACTTCATACAATGGTCAAGCACAATAAGAGGAAGTGCAGTGCACAAGAACTATAACTCTATCTTCAGTATTTATAGAGTTATTGCCCTTTGTTCCTTTTCTTTGTCTTTCTGGACTTATTACAGAGTAATTCAATTAAACTTCATCAATGGCCAACCACATTGAAAGGAAATGCAACATATAAGAACCACAATTATCTTTAATTGCCCACAACCATAACTCTATATTTCAATTCTTTTACAAGGTATTCTGTTACAAGTAACATCCTCATTTCAGAAGCAGTCTTGTGGGGGTATTAATCACATTTAGTGATAGTTCTAGTTGTAAATACATGTACCACTAATTTGCTGCATGATAGTCTCGTAAGCATAGTTTATTTTTTTGTCTTGTAAGCATATTTATCCAGATCAATATTTAATGATATGTATAAAAAGTCTTTAATGTCAGTCCAACTTGTGGTGTGGTCATTTGACATAAAGTGTTTGTGGGGCCATACAGTAATTTTTCAAGCCTTTTCTTGTAAATTGGCATCATTTCTAGTGGTTACATTGTCTGTCTAGGAGGGCTTCATAATGAATCAATCATACATCAGGTTTCATGTATATTGTCCATATTGTGTCTTAATAAGACATTGAAGTTAGATTGGAAAGGTGCTTTGCAATTTGCATGCTGAATAGAGAATTGTTCATTACTTTTGAATGAAGAGTTGCTGTAGCTTTCATTTATGGTACCAATCTGTCTGGAGCAAAAGCTTTCATATATACATCATGATTGCTCAATTCATTAGAATTGTCACCACGATAATTTTGACATATATACATACATGTACATAATTATATCGGTCCTAAATTAACATAGCAATAACTGAAGGTTGAAGGTCAAAGACTAGGTTTAGTTTGGTTTGATTGGATCAAGTTAACTTTCAAATTATATTCCGATGGTGACTTTAAAGAAAAATTGTCAGTACACATGAATCGTTAATGCTTGGTTATACCATAATAATAATAATAGCACAGAATATCATTATTAGGCTTACATAATGTTTTGGTCAAGTTCTTTTTTATACCAAGAACATAAAAAATGATAAATTTTGCAGACAAGCCATTTCGATCTATTCAAGAACATTGTCATATCTTACTTAAAAAAATTTATATGTATATAGTAATATTTCCTTTGAAAAAAAATGTACTTTTGAAGAGATATAATTAATGGATGATAGTAACAGTAATATTTCATACATGATATAAAAGCCTGTTTCAATTAATAATGTATTATAAAATCTATGTTTTATTTATTACTTATGGTATATCTGATAAGTTTACATATTTTTACTGATATTTCAATATTCTTCAATTGTTGCATTTAAAATCATGCTATTATTACAGCATAAAAAGGCTGAATTACAATCTAAAAAAGGCGAAAGTAGGAAGAAATCAAAAAAGGACTAACCATGGCTGTATGTTGTTGTAACAAGTTGATAAATTTCCTGGGCAAGAGCTTTTTTTCATGCAGCAATGTAGAAAGACTGTTGTTAAACCCATGTGATATTTTTTTGTGTTCATTTTGTTACACTTTTATGCAAAATTAAGTGCAGTAGTGCAAGAAAAAAATGAAAAATGACAACATTAAATGTATAGTCTTTTTGATTTTGCTACATGATAACTATAATTTGTTTCTAAGTATGATGTGTAAACATAGCACCAAAAAAAAAAGCACAAATATTAATATTACTGTCAAGCATTGATATTGTGAACATTTTGTTTCCTCTACTTGTATTTAACATTCATATGAAATTATAGCACACTGTGGTCTGTTGTATATTTTCACTTCACTTCTTAATTTCAATTTTTGTGGTTTTTAATAACCATTTATAGTTTGATATGGAAGTACTTTTTATTTTGGTTTTATCAAATAAAATTCATGTAGATACTAGTGTAGGATTTATATAGTTAACCCAAATATGGAGTCATGATTATTGTATAAAAGTTACAAAAGAAGAAAAATGTTACAATTGTCTTTTGTTACACCCTCAATAACTTATAGAAAAATAAATATTGTAATGTTTTATTCTATTAATTATTAACATATAAATATATATTTGTAATTTGAAAATTATGAATGAAATCCTGAAATGATATTGTAGGTTCCGGGTTCAAGACCAAACTCTGCATCACAGCCAAGACAGAAACCTGTGTACGGCCGTAAGCAGTTTAGCAATGCAATCAACAACCCTTCCTCTGGTGCTCCAAAGGCTGTATTTGGTAGTTATACACAGAATTTTGGTACCATTACATCAAGTGGCCTTGCTGCTATCAAGAAATCTTGAAAAAGAAAATTGTAAGGATTCAGTATAGTCAGTGTCACAGAAAAGAATTACGTTGAAGGAGATTTTATTGTAAATCAGCAACTGACGTGTTCATTGCATGCCCTGATATTCATGACAGGGTGTTTACTTTGTGTCATACACTTCACTGTTATACTATGTACACAATAATGTCTACAAGACAAGAGTGCACATTTTATATGTCATTTTTAATCCAACTGATTTTGTTAAACATGAACAAAATGAAATAATTGTAAATAAAATCTTGACTATGTTAAAAGATTGCCACAATGTTCCAAACCAAGACATGGAGGGTTTTGCTTCACTTCAGTTTGAAAAGGTCCTTTTTACAATAATGATTACATTGTGTGTGATGAATATTATGTAATAAAATACATTGTAATGTTAAAGAAGATAGAAGTGCTGAAATGAAGCTTAACCATGTTGCACCGGCCAGTGTGGAGAAGACAGGAAAAAAAGCCAAACTTAATCAGTATTACACTGTCTGTACATAAAACATTTGTTTGATTGATTGATTAAAAAAAAGCTAAATCATTAACTAGCAAGTAAGGACAATTTATGGGTAATAAGTGAAATAACAGATTTTTCTGGACTACTTACAAATGAACGTGGTTTAATTTTGACTAGTCTAAACTGAATTTCATATTTTGTGCTATTTATTTCAGGATCAAAATAGTCATATTAGAAGTCAGCAGTATTAAGTCTGGTCAGGGAACAAAGACATACTAACTGACTTTTTACTGTTGGCTTTAGGTATACATGACATTTAATGATTATTAGATAATAGTTATTTTTCATACTTCCGTCCATGAACTTATTGTGTTCCATCCATTATTTTTATTATTTTGTTAATTAATTAATGTGCTATATATGCCAAGTTACAATATCCTCAAGTTTCTTTTCATTCATAAAGATCCTGTACTAAAATTGATCAAACTTTTGTTCTAATGAAAGGGTAATTAAGTAAATGTTGAATTAAATATCTAAAAATAGAACATACAAAATTAAGATTGTTGTAAAAAAAAAGATTTCATTTTGGTATCATGGGATGAAATTTGATTAAAAGAACATATCAAATGTAGTTTTCCAAAATTTTATCATATTTTAGTAATTACCATAATGATGAATAATAGAGATATAGTAAACTCTACCTGTATTGATATCACTTATGTCATGATTCTTTCATTCATTTACCTTGGTCCCTGCCAGCTTCTACCATAATCTTGTGTAAGCTGTTCTGCATATATTGTTCATAGCATAAAGTGATAATTTCATTATTGATAAGTGATAATTTCATTATTGATAAGCATTTATAATGATAAGCTTGATTTGCACCAAAATGCATCCAGTAATTTCTGTAATTAACTTAACTTCTTTTATATACCAATAATTGCATTTTAAATGTATCTGATAAACATTAAACAATGTGAGGCATCGGTTAAATACATTAAGTACAGACATTTTGGTTATAAGGATATTGAAAAGTTGGGATAATGTTTCACCTGTCTCCTGGATATTAATATTTGTGGAGTTTACTATACAAGTATGTTTCTTATATTGTAAATAATTTAAATATTGATTATGGGAGTGTGATAGACTTGAAGTTTTATGCAATTGTACATATTTAGTTTTTTGACCTTGATGTAAATATACAGATTATTTAAAGTTTTTGTTGTCCTGCAAGATGTGTTATGTTACCATTAACAGTGATTCTTGTACATTGTATAGGTGTTTAAACAACAATATTATATTATACACCATGATTATTATTGTTAAACTGTATTAGAGTTTTAAAACCATATCTGTGATCAGTGTATTTTTTTTTCATTTGCCACTTGTTGTTAACCTTCAGCTCTTGTGTCAATTTATGGTTGTGTATTCAAACATTAGGCAAAATATCACAATAAAAGTGTCCATTTTGTTGGCTCCATTTTCTTGATTTACATTAATGTCTCCACAATGACCTTGTCTTATATCTTATTATTCATCACATTATAGAATCTGTTTTATTATTTTATACCTACATAAATGTACAAAGGTCTTTTTGAAAGTTAAGTTTCCAGATAAACTAATTTATATGACACCAAATTCTTTATAGGGAGCTAACTCTTGAGGTTATTCAAATCTACAATCTGTATATAATGACAGTTTACCTCCCTTAGATATTTAACAAATGTTTGTCAATAGGAAGGTGGTCTTATTTTGTAGTCAAACTACATACATTTACATACATTCAGTTGTAAAGTTAAACTTTCTTGCTATGCTTCTACATTTATACTATTACAAAATAAACCAAATGGTATAATTATTAATAAGACATTGTGATACTCAGAGCTCCCCTAGAAATTTATTATTTATTATTAAAAATCAAAGTCATTTTCTTTTGGTTACTATTCTGTAGATCAAGTATGTTTTTATCATATTCAGTAGAGCTCCATTCTGAAACAAAAAGGATATTTCAAAACTTAAGTGCTATTTTAGCTAAGATAAAGTTATTTATTTTAAGTTGTAGATATTTTAAGCTTGTTATTTGACTAGAAGCTAAGAGATTAACATGACTATAAAGGAATGTCTCAATTTCCGTACAGATGACGTCATATTAACTCATCCCTATACAAATTTTAATTTCCTTGCATGTTGTATCACCATGGTTACCAAAGAATGTCATTAGATGTTGTAGCGTAGGAACACTATTGGTCTAGGGTTACAAAAAATATTTTAGTTTTTTTTACAATAAGTAGGTAATATAGAAATAATATTCAAAGAGATTATTATCATTTATGGTTAGACATTATTCTTAGTTGCCACCTCTCATTACATATTACATTTCATTTTGATCATAATTGTTGTGTTATTCTTTTGAAAAATAACTACACACAAGCTTACTGTAGTGAGTGACCCAGCAAGGTTGTAGGTAAAACTACCAACACTCGACATATTTCTTTTTGTGTATGATATACTTAAAAATATCTATCACAGATCAATTATATATACATGTATATGATATATCATAAAACTAATTTGTTTAAAGTGTGAAAGCTGAAACTTTAAAATTTTAACCATGAGTTTTATGTTTTATTTTAATAATTGATTTTTAAAATATTTTTATCCACAAAAATGTTGCCAGTTTTCATATATTTTTACAATTGAATTTCATTTTTTTATTCACTCAACATTCCATTTACCATTATATAGTGAAAACATGATCAATATTGCATGCATGCTATATTTTTCTATCAATGTTTTTACATCAATCTAATTTAAAAATATGTTTTCTTTTGATATCATGGTGTGGACAACATACTGTAGTTAGAAAGATGTGACAGCTCATTTGATGTTGTACATTGAATGTTTTATGTCTATCTGCTAGAAACATTAACATTTTGTATGTATTCATAGCCATGTTTATGAGAAAAGAAATAAAAATTGTGATCACATAATGGTGTTTGTTCTTTTCTTTTCTATCTCAGCAAAGTCAACGTTATAAAAGAACATGTAATAGTTTATCGATATTTGCTTTTTACCTTTATTTTATCCTCATATTGTTTTTATCGTATTTGGAAAGTGATTGATACATCATTATTATAAGCAACAATCGAAAGCCAAAAAACTCAAAGCACACATCTACAACATGAGTTTGCCGGTGATTGGTATTGTAATAAAAGAGAACATTCTTTGGCTTTGTTCCTTAGATTATTACAGCCTGGCGTTCCACTCACCTCATAAAATAACTTTAAAAAAGTTAACTGCATTCAGATTGTTATTGTTAATGACAGGGTGTCTGCACCGGATATAACTTCGATAGATCGTGCACAATTGAATTTTATGTTGACCATCGTGATCTGTTTTAATTATCAGTTCTCTGTGAAGGTGTAACCAAAAGGTGTTAACCATGTAAGGAGTAGCATTCTCATGTTTACGAATTCTTTCGGAAGAGACAATTTACATTTTTGGGGCGTGGGCATTAACAACAACATGTACAGCATATGAAAATATTAAATTATATAAGTTGATAAGTATACTGTAAATTACACTAAGAACCACACCAAGGATAACATTAAATGAGCAAGCTTGCATTTCATTCGTAGTCATTTGTGTTAGCGGCACCATTATACACTTAAATTAGAAACTGAACTGGCTTGAGACAGAAATTATGGCATAAAATTTATTTAAAAAAAAAGATTTAAACACAATCACATTTAAATTAAAATTAGTTTAATAGTTTTTATTGCATCACAGCGAACTGAATATAAATAAGTCTATTTTAGATGAAATATACTTGATTATTGAAGTGAAAATAGGAGATTTTTTTAAAGATAATGATAGATTTTCTAGCAAAAAATCTATGAAGCTTGTTTAAAAACTGAAAATTATGGATCTGAGGTAAAGATCATGGTAATTTATTCATTAATGAGTCATCTTTATGTAGCATAGAGACTTTGATCCAAAGCTTTTTACCTTAACGACAGCAGACAGTCTTCCTTATACCCTAACCTAGTTGTGTATTAACAACAGTATTATGTGAAAATCATGAGTCATATTTCACTTAAGGAAACGAGGCAGTATCGACTGGTAACCAGTTGAGCAAACGAAAATTTGAGACCTTGCATGAAGACCTAAAACAAACATTACTAGCTTGATTTGTTTTGTTTGGATCTTGTTTAATAACAACTTTGTCAGACCATGGTACCAAATACAACATAAATAATTATAATTAGTTTGAATCAAAGGCATGGCAATCAGTTTCTTGGCGCGCTTGTTTTACGTGCATAGAATTTTAACCCAGTATCGCCTTTCTGTAAAACTGAAAAAAAATGACACAGGAAAATTAGTCTTTGAATTACCTAACTGAAGCGATGCTTGTCTTAACAGCCACTGAGTCAGTAGATAAGAATACCAGTCATGAAGAGAAGCTTCTTTTATCAGGTAGAACATATAGATTACCGATTTTTCACTCAAATAGGACTTCAGATGTTATATATGTACTGTATTGTACAATGGGTACCTGGTGCTTCAACAAGTTGTATGTCATTAGGTACGATTTAAACCTTCTCAAAATATTATCACCACGTTTCATGATCCATAATGTAAAAAGCTTTTCTAGTCTAAGATAATCATTCTTACAACATTGTCCTTCCCAATAAGTCACCGTAGAAAAACATATCTCTAGAAAATTTTCAAAAGCTCACGAACAACTTGTTAACCTTGAGGTATGCATCGACTTGCTCATACATATAGGCAGTTACCCAGCAAATCATTATTGCATCTGTATATAAAATGTGCAAAGTGCATTTAACATTGGCTTTTTACATTTGTTTGTTTGATTGGGTTTACCTCACATCGACACAGTATAGGTCATGGAGACGTTCCAGATTTACTGGTGGAGGAAGACCTCAGGTGCCCTTCCGTGCATTATTTCAGGCACGAACGGGCACCCGTGTAGAACCACCGACGTTCTGTAAGCTAGCTGGATAGCTTCATCACATGAAAGAATTCAAATTCATTGTCGGGATTCGAACCCACAGCGATGAGTAGCAAATGGTTTGACGTCAACGACCTTAACTACTCGACCACGGACGCCCATTTCGCCTTTTACATACCAAGTGCATTACTTAAAGAAATGGAAAAAAACTCGAAGAATATTAAGCTGCAATGTAACTTTTAAGAAGTTATTTATTTCAGATAAATAAAACTTATACTCATACAATATGTGTGTCATAATCATAATAATATTAATACAAAATGTATACATAATATCATACCAGAAATAATGTTAAAAATAATGCCTTTCTTTATATAAGGAATAACAATTTTAAACATATACTTTTAATAAAGTAATTACGAATGCATAGCAGGTCTTTTAGCTTCAATATTCATGATCTTTTACTAGAATACAAGAAATCACTTGCATTGTATATTCTTGTTGTATCATTTTCTTTTAAAGAGCGTATATTGTGTCGAAGTGTATAGTCCGTTGATTATTTGTCTTTAACAGCTCTCATTCTGCCAACTAATCTTTCTCCCCTTGATTTAACTTGACCGTACCATTTGCTGTTTTTCATTTCATCAGCGGCCGTAGTCCAGTTTCTTTCTTCAAGAGCTTTGGCCAAATTCTTGAAACCTTTAAGTCTTCCTCCAAGATTGAACGCCATATTTACCATGATTTCTTTTACTTCACTGGGCCAAGTCTCGCATTCAGGGTAGATTTCTTTTGTTAGTGCTGCTGCTTCATTGAAGTCCTGGACAAAGGCACTGTCAATTCTGTCTTGACCAATGGATGTACCAACTTCTAACTTATACTCAGGGTCGCCTTTCTTTATCAAGTGACCAATACCAAATGTCCGTAATCCAACACTGTCTAGATATACCTTATCATCAAACCCCTCATCTACCTTCAGCTGGGCTTTGATTCTATCAACTTCAGATGCTGTCAGCCAAGCCATGTTTTCTACAAGACGTAAAAATCAATGATTTTATTAAAACAGTGAAATTTCATTCCTTTCTTAAGTCATCAAGGGATTGACGCAGTTCCTTTCAATAATTTATTTTCCATGATCCTAAAAATCTGGAAAAAGAATGATCCATAGGAAGCATTAATCGCAACACTATTACATGAAAATTGCAGACTCGGTTTGAATGACTCTGTACATGAGGGATAATAAAATCACTGACGTGTCCTAGCACCGGTATAGACCTTGCAATACACATATTTAGCCTCGTTCCTTTGTTGGTATCATTCTCTATAAGGGTAACTGTATAACGTTCTATAAGTTATATCATTATGTACCGTAATAACAATTGCTTAAATTGCACATAACAGACAGCACTATGCAGCTAGAAGTAACCGCTCGGTACCTTTTAATAATTGAGCAAAGGGGACTTTTTCTGTTATAAACTGCTTCAAAAATCCTTATTGTGCTATTACTAAAGTTAATATTGAATTAATAGGTATAAAATAGTATACCATTACATGCTAGTGTTAAACACAGATCTTTTCAAAAAATGTAATGTAATGTAAAAATCGCAGGATATTGTAGAAATGTTGCATGTTTCTTTCGCCAATAACATTTTTTTAAAAGAAAATTTAAGGATTAAATAATGCTTATTAAATTTAAAGCATTTCTGTGACTCACTATGGTCTAAAAATAGGGCCCCTTAAATGTTATGAATTCTTTGCTCATTCAGAACAGAAACTAGCACAAAATACGAATATAAAATACAGACAAATAATGAAATACGAAATACTCGAGAACATATATTCACAGTTGTAAATTACCTATTACCAGAATTTATTCTTTAAAGTTAAAGATCGTCTATTAGTAATAATATTTTCAAAATTATACATCTTGAATATAACAGGAAGATATTTTGTTTATTAAATCAAAATTTATTTCAAATTACACGTATCGAAACTGATCGAGTTTATTCAAGCATCCCTTGTCGTGGGCGTTGCGTTTAAGTGTCAATGTTGGTTAAATTTAGCTTGAAAATTCACATATTTTGAGTTGAGAAAAACAATAAAAAGTAAATGAATATCAATATAATCAAATACTTTTTTGTAAGAATATTAAGAAGAAATGTACTGAAATTAATGTATACAATAATACACATCAACATTAAATTCACTCAACAGAGTAAATATTGGTTCATGTTTTCAGGAAGTCATAATCAATCAACGAATGATTCATTGCCAGTTAGACAAAGTTTAACATTGTAAACTCGTATGATTTTAACTTTAGCATTATTTTAATATATAGATTACGTTGAGAACAAAAGTGCGTGAAAAGAATAAACATATAAAGGAAATACATTTTTATAATACATTTCAAATACCCGGTAGTTAGATAAGTAATTGAGAACAAAAGATTGTTAAGATCAATTCACCAAATAAACAGAATCTTAATAATAAAATCATAGACCACATTCATAACAAAATTTTCCTTATGGAGAGAAGTAAAATATTTTTATCATCAGCAGTTATGTGAACCCTGACTCCAAAGGAAGATCAAAATATGCGTATTTTAACTGTAATCCTCATTGTTTTGATATTAATGATTTTGCTATCTTCTTATTGTTAGGATGAAACTATCAACTAGCGATTTTTAAATTTGTGAAAACATGATAACATTTAAACGTTTCAGATAAAAGATATCAGTATGATAAATTAAATTTTATTAAATGCATGTAAATTAAACTAAAAGCGTCATACCTGTTGATAGAGTATATCTCGTCTGATATGGAAGAAGGGTATTTTAACTTCCTTGACGAAGTTGAACACCGGAGGACTGTTCAATTTGATCATGTGACTAGCAGTTGAAAAACACATATTATATGTATTACATGTAAACTATAAATAGAAATTTCACAAAACAAGTTGTCAATATATCATAAAGGCCGAGGTCTTGGAATTCCATACTTTTTACCTGATATAAACAAGAGTTAATTGGTTAATTAAAATCACACTTTAAATACTTCAATGCTTAATACAAGCAAATCCAATGAAAATGTTCAAATAATGTTTATTTCTTACATCAGAAGATTTAGTTTCATTATACAAGTCAACTACTTCAGTACCTTTAAAATTGCAATACAGTTATATCAACTGCATTGTTTCGGGAACAGAAAACAAAACTAGAGAAATTTCAAGATAAGAAAATATAAAAAAAAGAAACAATCACACAATTATTGGAAGATTGTATTTTACCATTACCACAATAAACATCTGAAATTGACTCGTCCATCTTTTAGTCTGGACAATACTATTCTTCATATTTTAGAGGAAATTTTAAATTATGTTCTGATTTAATAGCGAACAGTGGACAATCGATCTTGACATGCATTGGTCAAACGTTGAGCTTATGTAGCTAATGGCAGAGTGAGAACTTAAATATTTAAAACATAATTATAAAGATATTTGAAAGTAAATAAATAAATAAAATATCCAAAGTTTATACGCTCGCATGTGGTTCTTAAAATTCTTGCCAGAATTAAAAGAAGATGAAAATGAGTGTAATATACGTAGTGCCTAATGCAAATAAAGTGACTCGAGAACGTATTAATATTTATTTAATTAAAATCTAAATAAAAGCAACATTTATTAAATAACCATGATTAAGAAATATAATATTTAGTTATGTTTAAATCAGATATATTTGTTGTTTGTGGTATTCAAGTTCTATCACTCTAATCATTATTTATCTTTGGATGGTTCTGATATATCTATGGTCACTTTCAGGAAATGTTGTCTGCGTTTTATATTTGTCTCAGGCAAACTGTGGATGAAACGTATGATTCGTAATAACTGATCACCTCTAAAGATTTAAAGTTGTTGTTCTGTTCATTGTCGATAAGGGCACACTTGTAAGTTATTTCACTCGGAAACCATATGTCGTTATTCATGGAATGAAATGATCATGAAAGGTTCCATGATCACATCGTTTGAAAACATATACTAATGTGTCAACACACCATGTTTGAATGTCATTTATTCCTGCTACCCATGAAAAGGACATGTGGCATTTTCAATTCTATGACGTTGTGTGATACTTCCATTTTATCTATACTTATCCTATATAATGTATCATAGCATGACAATTTATTTTTTGAGAAACTTATATGCAGTTAGTTAAAAAAACAGTTAATGAATTATAAAGGCTCGTATTGTTTTTAACGCAGAATAAATGATTTTTTTCAGCAAGTATAAACTTTTTAAGTAAAGTATTCTTGTGTAAACTGAAAGGATGATATAGCATAATCAGAACTTTAAAAAATGATAATTTTAAAATCAGTATTTTCGCTGTTATTGGGTTTCACTGTAGTTCATATAATCTAGAATTGTTTTGATATCTTAAAAAGTTAATTGTTAGAATCAATATTCCACCAACGAGTGATGATTTTTTTAATTTCTGAACTGTTCATTTTGAATTAGATAAATTGATATTATTTCAATGAATGACATTTATGGACCATGTCATACATGTTTAGCTTCTGATATATCATTTCTTAATTCTCTTACATGAATGTAAGACATGTTAAAAGGAAACCGTAATACATGATATTTTAATTAGAGATTGATTATGCATCAGAATAAAGAATGCAGACGTAGGAAAGCCTGTACGGGGAAGTGTAAGTAGCAGTGGCAGTGTTAGCTAATGATACATTAAAGTGAAAGTGACTGTAATTGTAGAAGTTGTAGCGTTACTGATGGTACTAAAAGTGCCCGGTAGCGGTAGGCAGAATATTTCTTTAGTTATTTCTTGGTGATGATGTTTTGTTAAGATCAAACTGACTGTCGATTGATCCACTGACCTTACAATCGAATACAGATGGTCAAAATCTTACAAAATTTGAAGACTAAATTAGACAGAATGTAATAATGATTATAATAACGATTTTAATTTTGTTATAGTAGGCGTGAGCTATGTACGTACACTTATATTATTACACCCATAGGCATTTGTTTTTGAGAGGTTTGTAGTACTAGTAACTAGTAACATCGGAAAAATGACGGTTTTAGAATCGAGACATCTTAGTTAAAAATTGTTACATTCAAACAAATTTGAGTTTTTTTGTTTTTTGCTTTTTTATTAATAATGGCTTTAAATGGTCTTCATATTTCATTTACTTTAGTAGGGAAGCTAGCAGTACGATTTTATAACATAGTACTTGAATATTAATTTCATATCTATATTACATCCTACATAAATAACGTTTGAATCTGATATGACATTCTGCACGTAATTCTTACAATACGAGGGGCATTAATAAAGTATTTATCAGTGTGGCGCTTTAGTCGTAGACGTAATATTCTACGGAAATTGTTAGACCAACCCTTCAAAGTATCCCCCTTCAACTTGGATGCACTTTTCCAAGGGCCAAATCCAATCGGAAAATGCTTTTCGGTAGGCCTCTTTCGGTATAGTGTTTAGACACTGGAAAAGGGCGCTGCCGACGGCGTGCCGAGATTCAAAACGGCGACCTCTCATGTAGTTCTTGATGTAACCAAACATCGCATGGAGCAAGATCTGTGCTACATGCAGGGTGTGGTAAAGTCTCGATGCTATTGTCGCTAAGATACAACTTTACCACCACTGACTTGTGGGCAGGTGCGTTGTCATGCAGGAGTTTGATTCCGCGTACACCGGTACGGGGACGGGCTGTAGTATAGTGACTAACAACAGCAGAAAGAACTGAATCTCGATAAAAGATCCCGGTAACACTCCTGCCTTCTGGTATAGGAACTCGAGACACCATTTCTGGCAATCAAAAAATAATGCATACATAATGCATTTTGAGGTGCGAGCTTTACGGGCAATTTAGGGCCGTTTGTCATTTTCACCGACCCACACCTTATTTTGTATTTACCATCAGGCTCATAAAAATAGATCAATGTTTCATCACCAGTCACAGTTTCATTCAAACGCGGTTTTGGTCAGCATTTTATACCTATCGAGCAGCTGTGACGCAATTCGCACGCGCTCCCGTTTTTGGTCCTCAGTGAGAAGGTGTGGTCACCACCGGGCGCAAACCTTGCGTAACTTTAACACACGAGTCAATATTTGAAAACCCGATGACGAATTAATGCCACTTAAATCTCCTCCACTGTACAGCGGGCATCAACTTCAACAACTTTTTTAACAGCAGCAATATTTTCGTCAGTCATTGTTGTGACTGGACGACCAGGACGGTCCTCATCTTTTGTAGTATCTCTACCGGAGGTAAAATGTCGAACCCATCTTCTAACTTTGGAATACGATAGGACACTATCCACATCATCCTTGTCTTAGTCTGATTTAATATCAGGTGCAGCAACACCAAGCAATGCGCGAATTTTACAATATACGCTTTGCTCGTCTTGAAAATTGTTCTCCTTTTCTGCCATTTTCAACTGCAGTGTACCTGACCGTAGTCGATTCAAGTGAACTTTTCGCTCACTGCGTAGTCTTACCTTTCCATACATGTATAATGTACCAATAACGCTCAAATTAACGGTAAAAATTCACACTGATTAAGACTTTATAAATGTCCCTCGTACACTTGAGCTTACTATCACTCAATATGTCAGTTTCTTACTAGAAAATGATCAGTAGTTATTCACAGATTAACCTAATTTTAGACAGGATATACACTTACTTTTAACACAATAAATTTAGTCATTCATATATTACGTACATTTGTATAGGTACTCATATGAGCCGTGTCATGACAAAACCAACATAATGCGTTTGCGACCAGCATGGATCCAGACCAGCCTGCGCATCCGCGCAGTCTGATCAGGATCCATGCTGTTCGCTTACAAACCCTATATCAAGTAGAGGAACTGATAGCAAACTGCATGGAACCTGATCAGACTGCGCGGATGCGCAGGCTGGTCTGGATCCATGCTGGTCGCAAACCCACTATGTTGGTTTTGTCATGACACGGCTCAATTATTATTTTGTATTTTAAGTTTTTTTTTTCTGATGTAATTTATTTTTGTTATATGTATGCGTTAACTTAACACTATGCAAAATTAAGTCTGTTATAATTCTATTGAAGAATGGCTATATGTATTATTTATTAATTTTATAATGTTGTATGTATGTTTATTTGTAATGCATATAAAAAAGACTCAAATAAAGTAATAATATGACGTTCGAACACCCCCTCTAACAATTTAATGTGTGCAAAATGTGTTCTTTAAGCCGAATAATGAATACATATTCAATGTTAACAGATTTCCTCGATATTTTTCAATTTCATATTACCATTAAAAATCTTGTTAACGTAATAAATTCTCTATTACAAAGAGCATTTGCATATTTTCTCTAAAGTATAACACCAAGATATTCTTCGAATTTGCTCCTTTATTTAACTTTCTTGATGAGATTAAACTTCTTATCGGTTTTGTCATATAAATAATATATTACTACAAAACTATGGGCGTGTTTTCCAATTTAGTATGGCATATCACATACAATTTTTTTTCTATCCAGCTAGCTTACGGAACGTCGGTGGTTCTACTCAGGTGCCCGTTCGTGCCTGAAATAATGCACAGAAGGGCACATGAGGTCTTCCTCCACCAGTAAAGCTGGAACGTCGCAATATGACCTATACTGTGACGATGTGACGTAAAACCCAAAACAAAACAAAAAACAAGAAAACGTACATTTTTTTAAAAAATCGATAGCAGGAAGTGAAATCATTTTCTGACTTTCGAATATGCCGAGTTCATAATAATTATATTCTTTTTAATAATACGAATGTACTCAATATGTAAACATTTTGTTAAACAGCGTGGTCAATAATCATGTTGTCTCAATATAACGGCTTTTTATTCAACA